TGAGTCAGATGACACATGGCCTCACATGAACACATGAAATTTGACCCTTGTGGTCATGATCTTTGTTTAAGGTTTTTGAAACACATCACATGAAATAACAACATTATGAAATAAGCCTTATTTAGTGAATGCATTCAAAACTTTATACTATATGAATGCTTTGCAATGCACATGATGACATGTCAAATTTTAGTATTAGGTCAAAACACTAGAGGTGTTACAGTGATGAATACTCAAATCATGGAGAAAAAGCCCGAGTAATGGTTGTACAATAGAAATTACTGAGCCTTGATAGCATTGCGGAGAAGTTGGCGAATATTCGGTGTGCAGTTCCAAGTTGCGTCAAAAGATGGGTGATATGGGCTGCAGTTGTGTGAAAGCCCAGATAACGTCCTACCACGCGGCTTCGGGGAATTCAGAAAGGCGCAAATCATGGTGCGGTTTCCCAAAAACCCTTGAATGCGAAAAGTGGAGAGGGTGCCTTTATAACTACATCGCTGCACTCTGCGCTCCCACCTTTGCCACTACACTTCATCTTTGTCCTCAGCCTCACGCTCCCCGATTCACATTCACATGCGCTCCACCACTAGGGCTAAAGAGCTTGCGAAAAAAGGCCAGTTCTATTCTAGATCTAAGGGATGGCGCCAAAGAGGGGAGGTGGTAACCTGAAGAAGGCGGCCACCGGGGCGAGCCGTGACAAGGAATGGGTGCCATCACTCATGGGGGAGACGGAACTCAATGAGATGGTGGAGGCGGGCGTTCTTCCTGACCGTGTCACCGCCGGATGGCGTCTGGCCGACGGTGAGCCCTATCCGATGCCACACATCGACAAACTCGTAGCATTCGAGGATTACTTCTGGTGCGGATTAGGACTTCTGGTACATCCGTTCTTGCAGGATCTATTGGAGTTCTGGGGACTGAGCTTGTGCAATCTGCATCCGAACATTGTTTTGCACATTTCCGTGTTTATCCATTTCTATGAGGCCTATCTTGGCATTCTTCCCCATTTCAATCTCTTTTGACACCTTTTCTGGCTGAATAAGAAAGGAGGGAGCAGTTCTAAGGTGGTCGGCGGTGTGTATCTGTAGCTCCGCAATGGGATAGCGGGCGAATACATTACTGTGCCGCTGAATACTTCGCTGAAGGGGTGGAATGCCAGGTGGTTCTATATGAAGCAGAGTCATCCTGCCATCCGATGCGACATCGACCAGATTCTGGAGAACTAGAGGAGGTGGTCAGAGAAACCGACCAGTGCCGATATGGAGCAGGTGAAGGAGCTCCTCGAGCTAATAAAGGGCATGAAGATGAATGGAGTGGTGCTGGCAGTGAGCTTCATAGTGTGCCGCGTCCAACCCTACAAGGAGAGGGCTCATTTGGGCTTTGACTTCAAGGGAGACACTGATGGCACCTAGGAGAGGACAGAGAGACTGATGAAGGAGGCTGTTGTGGTAAAATCGCCTAATCTAATGCCTCCCAGGAGTGCTTGTCTTCCATTAGACACTAAGCACTCAAGGGAGAACACCAAATTACGCAGTTTCGTCGAGCACACCCCAGGGGAGAACCCGAAAATTCACATTTTTGCCATCAGGATCACAAATAAGAGAATAAAGCTTACAACATTCTTAACCATTTCTTACATCACTTTTAATACAACATCAGAGTATAATATTTATTGTTATAACAACGGAATATAATCATATTATCAGAGTTATGAACAATTTAATTTAACAGCGGAATATAAACATGTGAACAGGGTTACAGCGGAAATAATTATCTAATCATGACATGGTGAATCATTGATATGTAAACTATGACAACAGATTATAAACTTTCATTTATAAAAACATTTAGTGAGAGTTATAAATAAAGACTATGATCACAGCATAAAGGAAATCCTCTCTGAGCCCACCAGGAGGAATTCACACACAAAGGTTAGCTCTATCATCCACCTGTCACCTGCAACAGGGGGAAATAAAACCCTGAGTACTCAATCGTACTCAGTAAGACTTACCCGACAGGAGGAAAGAAAAGACTCCAAGGATATGCAAGGTTATCTGGCTGATAGGTTTATTGCATCTGTAGGAAGCATTATTAAGCGTGCGTCCTTATATTTGATTTTTATTAACAGCTGCATTAGTTCATTAACCAACCATTCTATGTAAGCACCTGTGCTACTTTCAAGTAGATGGTAAGCAATCAGATTTCCTTTTTCCATGTTTCATCTTTCAGTTCTTACTATGATGCTAAACCATAGACAAGCTATACCAGAATACCGGCGATTTGCGAAATCAATGCCCCGAGCTGGGTACCCCGAAAACACACGCCCCGCTTGTACCCAAGGCACAAGTAGGACCAACCCACTACCCTCCTGTCACAGGGTCCAGATCCCCGTCCAAACTGGGACTCTAAGCCCCCACCCCTGAGTCCCGGACTTAGTGCGGTGCAAGGACCTCCTAACCCCAAAAACCACCAAGACAGTCGGTCCAGAAAGAGTCGGAACCCATGACAAGAGAGTAACAAGTCTTCCAAGCGCCCAGACCCATGTATGTGCTCGGGATAATAAGTCTGTGACTTGCCTAGAGTCTTATGCAACAGCCGGTCCTTAACCGACACAGACAGGAAAAGCAGTGTAACCAAGCTATGCCCCGCATCCGTGGCGACACAACCTCTTACACCCACCAATACCCAAACCATATCCCTGCCCGGTCACCATTTTTCCTTTCCACCATTTATATTTTCCAAGTGATAATAATACAGTAATATATTTCCTATCTCTCGCGAGTGACAGGCAATCACTCGACTTCTTTCGGAGTCCTGTAGCATAGCATTCTACACGATCCTATAATATAAAGATATATATATGCAATTGGGTTTCATTCAACTCCTTAAAACTTAATGTATAAATATAATTTAAAGTGCAGCAAAATAGTGGTTATGCACCGGGGCTTGCCTAGGTAAGATTTAATCAGAAGTTAGCTTTCCATCATGGTGACTCGATCTCCAAAAGCACCATTTCTTCAGCAACTCCCGATGACTCCGCGATCCATCGACGTCCCTATTATAATATGCAATGCAAAAACGTAATTAATCAACTGCAACCGTGATTCGTAAAATACGATTTACGCCTCTCAAGTTAACGAGCTAGTTCTATCGACGACCGTACTTAGACTACATATCCATGTTGTCGAATAAAATGTTATTTTCCAACAATCGTTTTAGTTATACAATCCCAAGTTGTTTCTTTATTTCATTTTATCGATTTAATCCTTGTTCGAAATAGAGCATCATTAGCTACATAGCAAACTGATTATTCTAGAGCTACAAAAATTACAATGAGTATCTAATATTGCTAGGAGCCTACTGTAAAAATTTCAGATTCAACACTATTACCAATTTATCACGATAATTCCTACAAGTTTATATTTTTACAATATTAAGTACATTAAATTAATTATATAGCTTCCAAGAAAATTATCAAACTATATGAACAAAATACACTATTGGATGGATCATAATTTTAGGAACTCAACAAATCTAGTTTCACCATTTTTGGACACCTACATAATTTTATATTGATTTTACAAGTTTATTTCCAAAACTAATTTAACAAGTGCTTATAAAACTAAAGGCCAGCGGCCACCAATTTAGCCCAGCGGGGCACGACGCGCGAGAGGCCCAGCAAGCCAAATGTGGGCGCGTGGCCCAGAAGGCACCAGGTTGGCCCAGGTGGGCGTGGGCGTGAGCGGCCTAGTCGCAGGCGGCTTAGGCAGGGACGCGCGCGCGTGGCCCAACGGAGACCGGCGGCCCACGTAGACACGCGGCCTAGGCGCGACAACCGGCCCACGCGTGGACGAGCGTGGCCCAGTGCGGCGCAAGCGGCGACGACATATTTGCGAAAGGGCCCTTGAGCTTACCTAAAATTAACTACGCCCTTATTTGTAAACCTATGAGTCTAGCATTTTTACAAAATGAACCTAATAAAGACTTCTATTCGCGCTTCCTCACCTTTTCCCTTCCTCAAGAGCAGAGCACGGCAAGGAAGACCATCCACTGTGTTGGGATTATGCCCTAGAGATAATCATAGAGATGATTGTATTGCCTTGTATCCATGATATATTATGAGTTCAATTGAATATCCATTAAAGACAACTTGTATCGATTGGCAATTATGTGAATTGTTTGTGAAACTCTTTTACTTGTATGGTTATTCCAAAGTTGTCCCTGATCAGAGTTCTTGTGAGGACACACATGAATATTAGATCAACACATTATTAGTTGATGACTATGTTTCACAAGTCATAGACATGGAGATGTCAAACTAATAATGTGGGTACATGTATGACATGGGGCTGGACAGACCCAACATGAGATGTTCTTATTGTCTCTTTACACATCATGTACGTTATGTCCTTTAGACCTGAGACTGTCGTATGTACTCAAGATGTGAAATGACCTACTTAGGGACTATCAAACGCTACTCCATAACTGGGTAGTTATAAAGGTGGTTTTCAAGTTTGTCAGGAAACATGCTGTGAGACATAGTCAATCAAGATGGAATTTGCCCCTCTTCATGAGAGAGAGATATCACTGGACCACTCAAATGATTTGGATCAAGAAAATGCATGGTCGTGCTTGGGTTAATAGTTAACCCACGAGTTGGACCAAATATCATGTGACAAAGGGAATAACATGTATGTGGTTTTGTGGTGGTTCGTCTGATATGATCTTTACGTATGCATAGGAGTTGACACGCCTTGCTAGAGGCCGCTGCCAACTATTGGCCGAACAGGAGTATTCGGGCCATGTCTATGTGTGCGTGAACCCATAGGGTTGCACGCTTAAGGGGCTGGAAGCCTAATTCAGATTGGACCCGAATTAGACAAGGTTTAGGGTTGCTAATGGGCCTCCAACTCGGGAGCTCATTAGGATGCCTATATAAGCAAGGGGAGGGCGGCAGGGCTAGGTTAATCCATGCCATTTGGTAGCCGCCGCCCTTCCCCATGCCCGCGCCTTCGTTCCTCATGGACCTAGCAGTCCGGAGGCGCGACGCTTCCTCCCTGTACATGTGGATACCTCGGAGGTGCTGCATCTGGAGCACAAGGACGAACCGCACGAGAGGGACGGGCGGAAGGACGACCACGCAACTGCACGGCACTGCTGCGACATGCACGACTACACCGAGTAGCTTCCGCTGCACCTACGTGTCTAGTGGTAATCCCGTGATCCATAACTAGCGGTAGTTCCTGGTTTATGGGGTTGAAATTTTTGTTCGGCTAGTGTAGCAACCTCATAACCCTTCAGTGGTATCGGAGCCGTAGTTGCGTCGTTATGGATTCGGATGTATGCATATGGAGATATGCACGGTTGTAGATGTGTTTCTGATCATGGTTCGTGATCTCGCTATGTTGGTCTTGTAACGATCTACTCGTACCGGTCGGAATTCTGCCATCCGAGTTAAGTGATACATGTAAACCCAGTCATGGTGAGTTGGAGATCAATTAGATTGATCGAATCGAACCTAGGTCAAGAGCTGAGCACATGTGATGCGCGGTGGTGGTAGATTGGATCTATTACCGGGCGCCGGGGTGCAAGAAAAAGTGTTGTTCGGTAAAACGGCCGTAACTTTTGCATATGACCTCGGATTGAGACGATTCTTAAACGAAAATTGTAGAGAAAAATTTTACATCCGATTCTCCCCCACTTTGTCGGGTTCGCTGAATTTATTTTTGCGAAAAAGGCCGGGAAGATGGTGTTTTTGGCGTTTTAAGATTAGACGTCGGAATCGGTTAACTCTATTTTGCAGGATTTCATGACTGGTATAGCCCTTATGTGTATGTGATGCATGTATGTAATTAATTCATGGCTTGCACGTCATGAGGATGACAATATGGGCTGGAGCCTCATAGATATTGTCAACATTATTGTAATGGCCTGCGTGCCAAACTGTGATGATCCTATCCGCGACTATGTAATTTTAGTTCACTGCCTTGCGTTAGTGATAGCTAGTCTTGGCAGACTTATCACTGAAGGAAGGCATACATGGATCATGGAGATTAATGGAGATGGAGATCCCTAGAGGAACAATGGGCTATACCAAGTCATATCTGTGTTAATGCCGTTCTTACTATGTTCTACTTTCACGTGCGATAATGTTTTTGTCTACATGCAATAGTGAAGTAGAATGATCCCTCAGCAATGTTTAAGTTGAATTGCTCCCCCAAACCTTGCACTATCTTTGGTCTTGTACAATCAGTGGTGGGTCTATGAAATTAGGGTGCCACTGATTTTCCTTGAGTAGACAGGTTCGTATCGGATACTTACAGTAGAAAGGTTGGTTACTTGAACAAGGTCATCCTAACGGTTAGGGACCTTGGAGCATAAGGAGTTGGGCGCTATAGAATAGAGATGCTACCCAACAACAAGAGTCATATGTGATATGATTAGCAAAGAGTTGCTTACCGATCTACCATGTCTTCTAGAGGTGATGCTAAAGCTCACTAGTAGACTTATTAGTTGTGGGTCTTGAATCACTAAGTTTCAATAGAGGGATATTGATTTTAGTGGGAGTAGATTCTATTAAAGTCTTAATATTATTTACTCTGTCATGGATACATTGTCTTAGTATTTTTGCATTACTTTTGTTATAGATAAATGGCGCCTACCAATCATACATTTACTTTGCGTTCAATTCTTTAGAAAGATAAGTTGAATGGAACAAACTATGCGGATTGGATCCGCAACCTGAGAATTGTTCTCAGGGCTGAGAAAAAGGAAGATATTCTAGACACCCCATTACCTGTAGAGCCTACTGATAATGCACCTGCTGCTGAGAAAAATGCTTACAAGAAGGCATGTGATGCTGATCTTGAAGTGAGTTGCCTTATGCTTGCTTGTATGGAACCAAATCTGTAGATGCAGTTTGACAACAACCATGCAGCGTACGATATGATCGTGGCGCTCAATGATATGTTCCAGACTCAAGCCAGGAATGAAAGGTTCAATGTCTCAAAGGCTTTTGTTGAAACCAAGCTAGCAGAGGGCGCAGCAGTAGGGCCACATGTGATCAAGATGGTTGGTTACACTCAGAGGTTGGAGAAGCTAGGCTTCCCAATTGGCCCAGAGTTGGCTACTGATTTCATTCTCGCGTCTCTTCCACCTAGCTATGGGAACTTCATCTCGAACTACCACATGCATGGGGCGGAAAAGGGCTTGAATGAATTGTGTGGCATGCTTAAAACTGTAGAGGCTGATATCAAGAAAGGTGCTGGCAGTAGCCATGTGATGGCAGTCCAAAATAAGCCCCGATTTAAAAAGAAGGGCAATTCTTGGAAGAAGAAGAAGGGCAAGGCTAAAGGTGAGAACTCTAAGCCAAACCCACCTGCGCCCAAGGCTGGACCAACTGCTGACACTGAATGCTATCATTGTAAGGGGAAAGGTCACTGGAAGAGGAACTACAAGCTGTACTTAGAATCCATGAAGGATAGCAGCGGTAAAGGTACTCCCGCAATTTGTACACTTGTTGTTTATGTTACGGACATTTTCCTCGCTAACTCTTATATAAATTCTTGGGTATTTGATACCGGATCGGTTGCTCATATTTGCAATACGATGCAGGGAATGATAAGAAGTAGAAGCGTGGAAAAGGGAGAAGTTGATTTCCGCGTGAGCAATAATGCAAGAGTTGCTGCGTTGAACGTCGGGACAATGCAACTCCACCTCCCGTCAGGATTTATTTTGGAATTGAATAATTGTTATTTTGTTCCTAGTTTAAGTTGAAACATTGTGTCACCTTCATGTTTGATAAAGGATGGTTATTCATTTGCGAGTAAAGACAATGGTTGTGTTATCTCTAAGAATGACATGTTTGTGGCTTTTGCATCCATTGTGAATGGGTTATTTATTTTAAATCTTGATGATGCACCTGTCTGTAATATAAGTGCTAAAAGGCCTCGGCTTAATGAGTTAAGTCCTACCTATATGTGGCATTGTCGTTTAGGTCATATAAGCGAGAATCGCATGAAGAGGCTCCATGCTGATGGGCTTTTAACTTCATTTGATTTTGAATCATACGAGACATGTGAGGCTTGTTTGCTAGGGAAGATGACCAAGGCGCCTTTCATAGGTTTTCCTTAGAGGGCGATAGACTTGTTGGAACTCGTACATACTAATGTAAGTGGACCAATGAGCACGACAGCTAGAGGCGGATTCCAATACTTCATAACCTTCACTGATGATTTTAGTAGATATGGCTATGTCTACTTAATGAAACATAAATCTGAGACATTTGAAAAGTTCAAAGAATTTTAGAATGAAGTAGAGAATCAACGTGGCAAGAAAATTAAGGCCTTGCGATCTGATCGTGGAGGAGAATATTGGAGCCACGAGTTTAGCAACCATCTAAAGAGTTGCGGAATTGTTCCACAGCTTACGCCACCTGGAACGCCTCAGAGAACCGGCGTGTTCGAGCGACGTAATCGGACTTTGTTGGACACGGTTCGGTCAATGATGAGCCAGTCAGACCTACCTTTATCGTTTTGGGGATACGCTCTAGAAACAGCCGCTTTCACATTAAATAGGGTACCGTCTAAGTCTGTAGTCAAGACACTGAAACAACCCTGATTTCCACGAAGGGAAATCCACAGAGTCAAAGTGTAATAAGACTATTGTAGATCATATTACCCAAATTCCAGTCGAATATCACATCCATACAATGATAATATCAGAGTACAAATAGTGCGGAATTACATAATTTATTACATCGCCGCATTGGCAGAATCAAAAGTAGCATTCATTCAGAACAGCTTGAAGATAAGATCACCAAACTCGAGCGTAGGAATGAACCCCTCAACCGTCAAACTCCTCGGAGCTATACTCCTCAGCAGAACCTGTGTGCCAAAATTTATCAGTACGATTTGTACTGGCCACTCCCAACCCTATGAGCATTGCTTTGTGGAAATTGGATGCAAGTTGAATATAATCAAAAGGGAACTTATAAAGCTGGGGGTTTCCTATGTATTAGCATATCAAGTTCATAGTAATGGTTGGTCAAGTTTTTAACACCATTCTCACGCATTCCACCCCATTCCCATTCCAGAGCCAGGTTTCTATCCTGGGATCGATATACCACCATATCCACACCATCACCATACCATAGCCATACCATCGCTCAGTCGATAGGCCAACTCCCTCTCGGCACTGTCTCAAGGCCCGTAGCCCCTGGCTATGTCCGAACACTCACTCTCGGGGAAGAATAGAAGGACTCATCTCACTATCTAGTTTAAGCAAATCCCAGGAAAGGTCCATAGCCGACAAGTCGGCATATGTATCGATCGATCAACCATACACTCTGCAAAGGTTTTACATAACCACAAGATCCGCCTTCCTCGCTGACCGTCGTCAACTGGGCTGATTCCGGCTGCTTGCTAGCCTAGGATAATGCCACTCTACCATTCAGCCCTGGTACACCCCAAGTCCGGTCTGGGGTGGCTGAAACTGTGAGTCATGAGCCGGGTCCACAAGGTCTCCATGAAGTCTTGGAAGGGTGTGGGGGAAATCCTCCGCACCCCATACCTCCTTACACTGTCCGCTAACAACCTAGCAGTAGTGGCAATATCCTACCAAGTAGTCCGGCCGTCCCGCACCATATAGGGCGAGTGGTACGTAAGGCTTCCCGGTGAATCTGAGTACTAGTAAGTCCTTAGGGATGACCAAGCCAGAATGTCTTCATCAGGGTTTCCATTTACCGTGCCACCACAGCACCTCCACCCTGGGCTCCTCCCATCACAGGATCACACCCAAGGCCACCTCATATACCATTTACCCACCATAGGTATCCATTCCAAGGGTGCCCAGGTAGCACCCCATGGCAAGACTTGCCCCAGGCTCATCGTATACTCCAACTTGGTCGACACAACCCTCACCCTCCACGCACCCAAGTCACACACGCAGCACTCTCCCCAATCACCAGTTTCCACCACGCATCAATGTAGTGTAAGCATAGTAGAAGTAATAAGCAATGAAATATAATAGCAAGCGTGTGACTAGCCTAACAGCAGGGTGAGCAGGGGTAAGGTTGCGTCAAGGTAAAGGCCATCAAGAAAGCATACTACCATGCAAGTCCTACCATAATGTGATCATGACAATAAAGTAAGCGCTAGCATTTCTATATTAGCCATGCGTAATAGGTGCTACGAGATTGGATGGGATGTGGCACCTTCAGTGTAGTCGTCTCCGTACTCCTCACGGTACTCACGATCCTTGTCCGTCCGGTTTTCCTCCGAGTCTGCAAACGACCGCATTATAGTCGCGTTAGCGACGTCTATAGAATAGCACAAAGAAGCAATGAAAATTCAAAAGAGCCAAATGCACTCAAACATGGGTCCATTGCATAGAGCTCGATTTTAGATGAATTTTGGTTCTAGTTTCGTATTTTTCCGAGGTCGTATGAGTTAGTTATGAATTTTCGAAGATTAATTCCATTTATGAAAATGAAAAAGGCTGAATTAATCCTGGGCTGACACGTGTCACGCTGTGGTTGGTCCACGTGGCTTGCTAACGTCAGCATGACGTCAGCATCACGGTTCCGAGCTGACAGGTGGGGTCTAGCTGATGTCAGCATGACGTCATCAATGTCATGCTCACCGACAGGTGGGGCCAGAGGCTATTGAGTCACTGACAGGTGGGTCCGGTCAAAGTCAATGGTGAGTCAACAGTCAATGGTCTTCGGTCAACGGTCAGGGTCACTGACGTGTGGGGCCAGGGCTACTGATGTCAGCGTGACGTCAGCATGGCGTCACCTTGGCTGTGCTGGTTTCTGACATGTGGGTCCTACGTGACGTCATCATGACGTCAGCATCTAACGTGTGGGTCTCAGGGTGTCCGTGTCACTGACATGTGGGGCCAGGTCAACGGTCAGCGTTGACCAGTCAACGGTTAATACGGGCTGGGTCCTAGCTGGGCCGGTTGTTCTTCGGGTTGGGCGATGCAAATTTGGGCGGTAAGGCCGCACACGCGGCACGTCTTGGACGCGCACGCCACGTCCACGCCGTGGGCTCTTTACTGGGCCGTGGTCCATGGCTGCGGTCTATGGTGGACTAAGTGGTGCTGGTCCATGGACCACAGACTGGTATATGGTGGAACGAGTCCACCCGTCGCCTCCCAGGCGTGGTCCAGGTACTCCGGGTGCACGCGCAGGTGGCCGGCGAGGGGGGGTGTTCCCCTGTTTTTCCCGCGGTGGCGCTCCTGCCGGCGGTGATCTTCACTTATGAGCCTCTGTGGCGAGGCTGGTGTTTGATTAGTGTGGGAAAAAGTTTCCCCAGGCCACGGCGACTACGTCTGCGGGGTCAAGGTGGCGACCAGAGCTCCCCAAAGTGCTGGCCATGGCGAGCGGCGGCTCGGCACGGCTCTCCGGTGGCTAGTGCTGGGTAGATGGGGCTTCTACGGTTGTCCTGTGGGTGCATGACGAAGGCGTCCAGGGCTCAAGCGGGGCTTCGGACTCCTAGGTGGCCTTTTGGGGCTCCAGCGGCCATGGCGACGCGGTGTCGACGGCGATGCGCATGCTGGTGCGCTATGGGCTCCGGTGGGGTGTCACGGTGATCTCGGTGTGTGGCGTGGGTGCATGTGTTCCAAAGTGGTGAGGCAAAACCATCGCCCACGCGCTCCAAGCGTGGAGCGCCATGGCCGACAGTGAGGAGGTCCGGCGGCAGAGAGAGTCCGGAAGAGGGGAAAAAGCTCACCGTGGGTGGCGTGGAAGACTGGATGGTGATGCCGTGTCGATGCGAGGCCGTGCAGCTCCGGTGTGGCCGTCTTGATCTGCGTCTTGAGCAGCGTCGATGACAAGCGCCGGTGCCGCCTTTGGCTCTGACGACCTCCTCCTCCGCGGCGGCCTCGGCGCTTTCTTCCTCTCCTTCCTTCCCCTTCTCCCTCCTCTCTCTTGGTTACGGTGCGCAGCGTATGGCCACCAAATGGCGGCGGGTGATGGACGATCGCTAGGGCTCTAGGGCTGGGGCTCTTATAGCCGGTGCTCTGAGCTCCACACGTGACTCGCTTGAGGATCATGCCGAGCGCATCGAGCGGCTTGCGGGGCGTGGGTGGTTGGCATGGCGTTGGCGAGGGCGCTGCACCAAGGGGGGGCAAGTCCATGGCTCGGGCGTGACCCCCTGGCCCGCTCTGCACTTGCTGTCGGCCTCCGATCGGCTGACGGTTGGGCACAACGTGGGGAAGATGAGCAGGGGATGGGTGTGGCGGGTCCGGCTGGCAAATGACCATGGGCGAAGGAAGAGGGGCGTCTTGGTGAAGCAGGTCTTGGTGGCCGACGAGAGGCCCAAGTGGCATCGGCATTGGCGGGTGGGCCTTGTGGGGCCATGAGTAAGTCTGGGCTCGCTTTCGGGCCTACGTATGCCAAGATTTGCATTTGGCGGGCGAAAATTTGGGTCATGAGACCTTCTTCTCCCTTTCTTCTTTTCTTTCTGTTTCTCATTTCCTTTCCATTGTTTAAATTCAAATTTGGTTTAGAATTCGAATTTAAAACTGAGGTAACTTATTTATTGGAGTTTTAGAGAATTTTGTTTAATAATAACTTTTTGATTTATTATTTAAATGGAATTGTCAATCATAGCATAAAGCAAATGAAAACCCAAATCATAATTTAAGTTAACATTGTATGCAACATGTTATTTGTTGGAAATTTAATAATAATAATGAACAAATGATATGCCATGCTTATGTGTTGACTTAGGTTGGGTTACTTCTAATGCAACTCTTAGGGTTGGCTCCTACAATGTCACTCATCATCTCATGGGAGTTTTAAAAAAAATTTGTAGTTGTGATTTTTGGTGTGCGGATTTCTGGGTTGTTACAGTCCTACCTCCTTAACAAAATCTCGTCCCTGAGATTAAAGCATAACGTACTCTTCAAAGAGGTAAGGATATCGTAGCCGGAGGTCAGACTCTTTCTCCCATGTTGCTTCTCTTTCAGTATGATTACTCCATTGGATCTTGCACATAGGAATAGTCTTGCTTCGGGTTTCTTTGGTATCTCTGCCCAGAATTCTGATAGGATGTTCTCTATACTCTAGTGTATCTTGAATGTCAAGTGTATCAGTCGGGATTACTTCGTTGGGCACTCTCAAGCAT